ACCTTCCCCCAGGATGCACAAGAGCATCCAACACACACACACACACGAAGAACACCTATGGTACCCTCCCAGAGCCGACCTCGATCTTACACCTAAGTCGGACCTGTCCCTCTACAGGAGGAATAATCCAAAATAATCAAAAGACAAACAACAAACAAGCAGACCGGGGACGATCTTTTGACATTTTTAGTACTTGTTGAATATGTTCGTTACTATTACTGTTCGGGGGTATGTATTATTGTTCGTCCAAAATCCGCCTGTAGGGGGACACGCCCGACTTTTCATCTTACGCGTCGGTTCGACCGTGTCTACTTCCACCTCGCCCCCACCGTTTCCACTCCTGGCGGCGCACTAGCACACACCCGAAGATGGTGCAGACCCCGAAGGGACGCCCCCCACCAGAGTGGGAAGAAGAATCTTGAAAACTCTCTCCGCGAGGTTGCACAGAGGCCGAGCAGGACAGTACAGGATCAGGTAGAAATTGAGCGTGAGGTGATGATGATGATGATGATGGTGGTGATGTTGATGATGATGATGATGGTGGTGATGATGATGATGATGATGGTGATGATGATGATGATGCTGATGATGATGATGATGATGATGATGATGATGATGATGATGATGATGATGATGAGGATGATGATGATGATGATGATGATGATGATGATGATGATCGCCAGACTTGCTCGCGGAAGCGCGACGGGCTCGGCCGACGGCCGCCACGAGGGGGACGGCTCGGGCCCCCGGCGGACGGCTGCTGAGGAGAGGGCAGACGGGGGCAGACGGGAGGGGGAGGAGGAGGAGGAGGGTGAGGAGGGGAAGGGGAGGAGGAGGAGAGGAGGAGGAGGGAGGAGGAGGAGGAGGAGGAGGAGGAGGAGGAGGAGGAGGAGGAGGAGGAGGAGGAGGAGAGGAGGAGGAGGAGGAGGAGGGAGGAGGAGGAGGAGGAGGAGGAGGAGGGAGGAAGGAGGAGGAGGAGAGGAGGAGGAGGAGGAGGAGGAGGGAGGAGGAGGAGAGGAGGAGGAGGAGGAGGAGGAGGAGGAGGAGGAGGAGGAGGGGGAGATGGAGGGGGAGGAGGAGGGGGAGGGGGAGCAGGAGGAGGAGGAGGAGGAGGAGGAGGAGGAGGAGGAGGAGGAGGACGCCTTGTGTCCTGCGGTGAGAGGACGCGTACGATGGCGGGGTATGTTGCTGCCGTCGCGCTCCTTCTCTCCCTCTCTCTTTCTCTACCTTTCTCTCTCTCTCTCTCTCTCCTTCTTCCCTTCCCTCCCGTCAGGGAGGCCTTCAAGGCTTTCAGGCACAAGGGTCTGGCCAGCCGCTTGCTTGCTTGCTGCTTGTCTCCAGAAAGGGGGTGAGGGTGGTGGGGCTGTAGCTTGGTTGCTGTGTTGCCGGCCTTTGCTGTGGTGCATCTACGGCCCTTCTGGGAAGCCTTGGGAGGCCTTGCGAGGCCGTCCGAGTCTTTGGGAGCTCTTGCGAATCTCTGAGAGACTCTAGGGAGGCTTTCGAGGACACGGACGGCTTCGAGGAACACCACCGTCCCTGGGTCGTGGAGGAACGCCTCTTTGGGAGGCTTCTTGGGATCTCCAGTGGGGCCTTTTCCAGCGCCTCTTGGAGACATTGTCGGGGCCTCTTGCGGACTCTGTGCGGGCGTCATAGGGCGTCTGGGTGCCTCAAGGCCCTTTCGATTTCTCCATCTTGGGCCCCACTTTGGCCCCTCATGAGATCTCACGGGGCCCTCGTGGGCCGTTTTGGGTCCCTGCTTGGCCGTCTGTGGGCCTTCTTGGGCGCTCCCATGGGAGGGCGTTGGAACTCCTGGTGGTAAAACTTCTACAGCTCGAGAAGTTGATTAGCCCAATTCTTTTCTGGAAAGAGAAGATCGGAATACAGAAGTGGGAGCAAAGCTTGAACATTTGAGAGTTGTAGGCTGGAGAGTTGAGACACAAACAGACTTCGTACAAGCTTTCCAGCGTTAAAAACTGAACTGCCGCTGTTGTTTTCAAGTTTTCAAGCTTCATGTTTTCAAATGGTCCATATCTCAAAATGGTTTGATATAGTGTGATGCCCGCTTGCCTGCTGAATTCAAAGGGATTCGTGTTCTAGATGTACGTTGGTTGCTTGCTTGTTTGCTGACCCTTCTTAAGGGCCCGATTGTTCGATGTGATTCTCATGCTGACGTTTGTCCCTAGGACATTCATCTTTCGTGGGGCCTCCCTCATTCCCTCCCTCTCACTCTTTCTCTGACTCCCTCTCCCTCTCTCTTCCTCTCCCTCCCCCTCTCTCTCTCTATCTCCCCTTCTCTCTCTCTCTCCCTCTCTCTCTCTCTCGGTATGTCTCTTTCCCTCTCTCTCTCTTGTGTGTCCTCTCTCTCTCTCTCACCCTCTCTCTCTATCTCTCTTCCTTGTTGTTCTCTCTCTCTCTCTTTCCCCTCCCACCGCCTGCAAGGAGGTGTAGCCAGCAGCAGGCCTGGGTTCCCCAGGAGAGCACGACATGCTGCAGCCTTGCCGCCCCCCCCCCAAATAGGCCGAGGCGCCGCCGGCGGTGGCAGCCCAGGAGGAGCAGGAGGAGGCGCTGGAGCGATGGCGGGTGGCGTTCGACATCCCCGCCTTCCAGAGCTTCGTCACGAAGTTCCCGCAGGCCCTCCCTGGGGCCGGCCCGGGCGGGCTCCGGGGCGCATCTGGAGGGAGCCTGGAGAGAAGGCGCGCAGCGCAGCGCACCGCCGAAACACGCCGCCGCCGGGGCATCCCTAACCTCGCCCGTTCGCGGAGTGGGGGGAAGGGGCCATGCCCTGCTCGTTTCCGCCGCGAGCCCCTCGGTCCAGCTCCTCCTACCCCTCCTCCTCCTCCTCTTTCTCCCTCCTCCTCCCTCCTCCTCCTCCCTCCTCCTCCTCCTCCTCCTCTCCTCCTCCTCCTCCTCCTCCTCCTCCCCCTCCTCCTCCTCCTCCTCCTCCTCCTCCTCCTCCTCCTCCTCCCTCCTCCTCCCTCCTCCTCCTCCTCCTCCTCCTCCTCCTCCCCCTCCCCCTCCTCCTCCTGCTCCTGTTGGTGCGCCTCGGCGCCGATCCCCGAGCGGCCTCGGCGCCACAGCCTCGCGGCCGCCCCGCTGTTTTTGCTGCCCGCCGCTGGCGGCGCTGGGCCCTGCCGCGGGGCCCGCCGCCAGTCTCGCTCGGGCAGCCTCAGAGGAGGGCCGCTTGAGACACTGGTAAGTCAGTTTATGTCGGGCGTGTCCCCCTGCAGGGGGATTTTCGACGAAAAAATTAAAATACCCCCAACATACCCCAAAAAGGTAAAACGATATGCAAGAAATAGTCCCTGACTATTTTCCATTTTTTTGCTATTTTCGGGGTATGTTTTATTTTTCGTCGAAAATCCCCCTGTAGGGGGACAGGCCCGACTTAAACAGTTGTCCTTCGGGGGCCCCCCTCGTCGCCACGGCTGGACGCAGCGCGGGGCATTTGTGCTCTGGGCCCCAGGAGAGGTCCAGGGGCCGATTCTGAATTCCCGGTGTCTCAAGCCGCCCTGCTCCGACAGCCTGCGGGAGCTCCCCTGCCATGCGAGGTCTGGACTCTTTCCACACGCGGTTCCCAGAAGCCCCAACACCCCTTCCCCCATTGCGTGGGCTTCTCACAGGACCGTTTTTTTACCGGTTCCGTTTTGCCGTTTTTGTTGCCGGTTCCGACGCTGTTTTTTTACCGGTTCCGTCCCCGTTGTTTGACCGGTTCTGGTTCCGGTTCCAATCTTGGAGCCGTTCTTTTTGCCGTTTCCAGTCGCCGTTGTTTTGCCGCTTCCACTTTCAAGGGGCATCTTTTTGAGAAAACGGTGAAAAAACGGCCCTGCCGTTTCCGGGGCCCACCCTGACCTTCCAGGAGGGCTAAAAAATGGCACCCGACTTAAAAAGACCTATCCCAGAAGCTATTCTACGTCTCGGTCTTAGGCTGTGTCGTGTAGTTGTTTAGGTCTTTAGGCCTCCAGTGCTAAAAAATAGCTCTCTGGAAGGTCGTGCTTCTCTCGCGACGCGACGTCTGGGCCTCCGCCCTGGAGCGAGGCTCCGCACCTCGGGCGGCCGCGCCTGCCCCCGGCCGAGCGCCTCGGCCGCCGCCTGGGTGGGGCGGCCTCCCGCGGTGTGCAGCGCGGGGCCGGAGGTCGCCGCCGCAGCTCTCCGAGTCTCTCCTCCTCCTGCTCCTCCTCCTCCTCCTCCTGCTCCTCCTCCTCCTCCTGCTCCTGCTCCTGCTCCTGCTCCTGCTCCTGCTCCTCCTCCTGCTCCTGCTCCTCCTCCTCCTGCTCCTCCTCCTCCTGCTCCTCTCCCTCCTCCTCCTCCTGCTCCTCCTCCTCCTGTTCCTGTTCCTCGTCCTCCTCCTCCTCCTCCTCCTCCTCCTCCTCCTCCTCCTCCTCCTTCTCCTCCTCCTGCTCCTCCCCCTCTCCAGTGGTGGGCACCGCGCGGCGCGGGGTGGCGGGGCTGGACGTGCGCAGGGTGTGCAGGTCAGTGGCACCTGCGGGCCCGGCCCGGCTGTGGCAGCAGCACGGCGCAGGCTTGTCCCTCGCAGCTGCTCCGGGCCCACATGGTGGGCCTGTTTCCCACCACCACCACCACCATAAGTTGGGAGGGGGGAAGGAGGAGGAGGAGGAGGGGGAGGAGGAGGAGGAGGAGGAGGAGGAGGAGGAGGAGGAGGAGAGGAGGAGGAGGAGGAGGAGAGGAGGAGGACCCCCTCCCCCTCCTACTTATGGTGGTGGTGGTGGAAAATTTGCCCATCACCACTGCCGCTCGCCCGCGGCCCCCCTTTCTCCATCCGCCCCGCCCCCCCCAAGCCGCGCCTCCACGATGGAGGGCATATGCTTTTTGACCTGCACACGCATGACGCCACAGCCCCAGACACGCTGTGATCGGGAGAGCATAGAACGACGGCTGGTTTTTGGCCGCTCTGGCCACGGGCACTGGAAGTCCACAACCTTTCCACAGGGCTGGCTCTTCAGCCTGAGTCCTGACTTTGACGCCATGCGGTCCAGCGAGAGCCCCTAGAGGCCGACAACTACGAACAACCTTCGTCTTGACTCCCTACTTCCGAAGTGGGGTTCTTGTTATCTCTGCCCTCCCCCGCGCAGGATATCCTCTCCTTCCAAATTTCTTCCTCACCATCACCATCATCAGCATCGTCATCATCAACACCGCGGCAACACCATCACCATCACCATCACCATCATAGTCACCATGCCCTTCGTCAGCATCTTCATCATGGTCATCATCAGCATCATCATGAGCATGCTCATCATCAGCAGCATCATCACAATCGTGATCGTGATCGTCATCGTCATTGACATCATCATCATCATCATCATCATCATCATCATCATCAGCATCATCATCATCATCATCATCATCGTCATCATCATCATCATCATCACCATCACCATCACCATCACCATCACCATCATCATCAGCATCAGCACCAGCATCATCAGCATCACCATTATCACCATTATCACCATTATCACCATTATCACCATCACCATCACCATCACCATCACCATCACCATCACCATCACCATCACCATCATCACCACCACCATCATCATCATCGCCGCCGTCGTCGTCATCGTCACCGTCACCATCACCATCACTATCACCCTCGACGTCACTCCTCTTCTCTCCTCGGACTCGTTGATGTCCCCCCGAACCCACGTCTCCTCCTCCTCCTCCTCCTTCTCCTCCTGACAGCTTCTCATGTTTTTTCCGCTCCACCTCCCCCTCTCTGCCTCCCCCTTTGCCGCCCCCCTTGCATGCCTGCGGCCAGCGCCCTCCTCGGCTCACGTGGTCGGCGTGGGCGCCCGCCGGTTCTTGCTAGCTTTAAGTCGGGCCTGTCTCTCTACAGGAGGAATATTCAAAAATAGTTTTAAAAATAATCAGGGGACGATGTTGTTTGTATTGTTTAATCTGCTTTGAGTATTGTTTGCATATTTTTATTTTTTCGCCCCAAATCCGCCCCTACGGGGACATGCCCGACCTACGTAATGCCAGCTGCCGCCCTCGTGGGCGGCCCCCCGGTGCGTCAGGTCGTGGACCCCGTCGACTTCGAGGTCCACAGGCTTGTGGAGGCCTTCTTCGGCCAGATCGGGGGCCGGGCCCCTCCCCGCGGTGTAGCGGTAGGTGCTCGCCAGTGCCGGGTTCAGCCCCCGCGGCCGGCCGGCTGGTCGGTCCGATGAGGCGATTGTGGTCTCGCCTCCCTCGTTGCCGCGTCGTCGTCGTACTCCTCCTCTTCCCACCCCCAGCCTCCTTGAGCTTTCCCTTGCGCGCCTCCTCCTTCTCCACCGCCTCATCCCTCTCCCGCTTCTCCTCCTCCATGCTCCTGCCTTGCGAGCCTCCGCCCCGTCCTCATCCACGCTTTTGTCCCCTCATCGCCATTATCATCACCTCCTGCCCCCAATCCTCACCGTCCTCCTCTTCCTCCTCGTCTTCCTCCCCATCCACACATCCACCACCTCATTATTAGGTTTTATCCATGCCCTTCTCCTCCCACTCCTCCTCCTCCCCCTTTCTCTTTTTCCGTTCCCCGTTTCTTGTCCTCACCCTCCTCCTCTCCTTCCTCATCATTCGTTCCTTCTGCCCCCCCTCCTCTGAGAACGCCTTTCCTGTGTGTTGGCCCGTCCCCTCTGTCCTCCCCTCCCTGCCCTCCTCGCCCCATGCCTGCCTTCCCCCGCCCCCCGCCCTCCTCCGACCGTATCCCTCCCTCCAGCGCCCAGATGGAAGCCGCCCGCCCGATGGGCCCGACTGGGAGCTCCCGTCCCGGGGCGCAGCCGGAGGAGGAGGAGGAGGAGGAGGGAGGAGGAGGAGGAGGAGGAGGAGGAGGAGGAGGAGGGAGGAGGAGGAGGAGGAGGAGGAGGGAGGAGGAGGAGGGAGGAGGAGGAGGAGGGAGGAGGAGGAGGGAGGAGGAGGGAGGAGGAGGAGGAGGAGGAGGAGGACCGCGTGAGTTGCAGGCGCGGGGTCTCAGCAACGGTTTGCCGAGCCTGGGGCGCTGGCAGCTCGGAGCGGCAGCCCTGGCCCATCCTTCTCCGCCCTCCTCGTTCCTCCCTGTGCTTCGCCCTGCCGCCTCTCGCTGCCTCCATTCTTTCTCCTTGCAAATGGCTCCTCCTTGTCGCACCCCGAGGCCGATAGAGAGGGCGGGCCAGGCGTTTCGCTTGACGCCTCCTTACCATTTATGACCCTGAAGCTTTGAAATGTGCAACAGTTTCACACATTGAGGGCGGGCCTTATTCACAAAATGTAGGTCTCGCCTTAGCGACGCGCGCATTCGTTTTTAAAATGCGCAAGAGTTTCGCGTATTGACAGCGGGCCGTTTCCAAAATCTGGTTTTCGCCTCAGCGATGCGCACATTCGCTTCTAACGTTCACCAGAGCTTCACTGACTGAGAGCTAGTCGTTTTCAACATCTGGCTCTTGCCTTAGCGCGGCGCGCATTCGTTTCAAACATGTGCGAGAGCTTCATTGATCGAGGGCGGTTCCTTTTCAACATGTGGCTCCCGTTTCAGCACCGCGCACATTCGCCTTACACACCAGCAGAAGTCGCACGGCCTCCGATGGTCAACGTATCAATCCGGATTTTGAGGGCTCAACAGTTATGTTGTTTCGCGGTATTGAAATCCCAGGAAGGGCAATCTGGCACGATTCAGGATCGTCAAGATGCACATGTCAGGTTGATTCGTGGCGCTGGAGTCCCGGAAAATGGTGCGCTTGCATGCTTCAGGGCCTTCAAGCAGTTGTCTTCCAACGAGGCAGCTCATTCAGTGGGAATGAACCCTTGTAGGGGCCTATGCAGAGGAAGCTTGAAGGGAGGGTTTATTCCAGCATCGTTAGTGAGTCTTGGGTTTACAGTGGTCCCCCTCCTCTTCCTGTTCCTCCTTCTCTTCCTCCTCCCCCACCTCCTCCTCCTCCTCCTCCTCCCTTCCTCTTCCTCCTCCTCCTCCTCCTCCTCCTCCTCCTCCTCCTCCTCCTCCTCCTCCTCCTCCCTCCTCCTCCTCCTCCTCCTCCTCCTCCTCCTCCTCCTCCCCCTCCTCCTCCTCCTCCTCCCCCTCCTCCTCCTCCTCCTCCTCCTCCTCCTCCTCCTCCTCCTCCTCCTCCTCCTCCTCCTCCTCCTCCTCCTCCTCCTCCTCTTCCTCCTCCTTCTTCTCCCCTCCCCCTTTTCCTCCTCCTCGCCCTCCGCCCCCCCCTCCTCCCCCTCTCCATCCCTCTTGTCTCCCTGGGGCACCCGAGGTGGAGACCTTCGTGCAGAACGCAGCAGAGCGCGACGAGCTGAACTCGATGAAGCTGAAGGATGCGCGCCGGGCCTGCTGCGCGCAGTCGCTCGGGAGCGCGCGCGCGCGCCACCAGCGGAGGAGGAGGAGGAGGAGGAGGAGGAGGAGGAGGAGAGGGATGGCAGGAAGGAGATGTGCGCGCCTGCGGGAGGCAGGCCAGGTTCCTCTTCAAGGAGGCCCTGCGGCCCTGCCCGCCGCCGCCGCGGCTGCCGCCGCCATCGATCGCTCGATCGTAACTCGTCTGATTAAATGCCGCCTGCGAGATCGACTCACGATGGCCGAAATGGTAGACATGGTATGACCAGGAGGAGCAGGAGGAGGATCATGGCCGAGTGCGACGACTTTGACGTCAGGCGTGCCCCGCTGCCCTGTCGCTTTTCCCAGCCATCCTGTGGTGTTGGGTCTTCGTTCTGAAGAGGCAACGCCCCGCGTTCCTCACTCCTTCCTCCTCCCCCTCCTCCCTCCTCCCGTCAGCCCCCGCACTTTGGCACACCACTCACACGTTTCCACGCCCTATAGGGAGTTCCACCGACGGCTCCAGTGGCGCAGTTCGCATGCGGTTTCTCCACCCAGTAAAGCGCTCCTTGGCCCCATAGGGAGCTCCACAGAAGATCCCAGTTGCGCAATTCGCATGCGGTCCCGTCGCCCATTGCAGCGTTCCGGTGCCCTCCAGGGAGCTCCACCGAAGGTCCTAGTGGCGCAATTCGCATGCGTCCCTCCCGCTCAACACAGCGCTTCGTGGTCTCAGAGGGAGCTCCACCGAAGATCCCAGTGGCGCAGTTCGCATGCGTCTCCCCCCCCACCCATTACAGCGCTTCGTGGCCTCAGAGGGAACTCCACCGAAGATCCCAGTTGCGCAATTCGCATGCGGCTCCCCCGCCCAATATATCATTTCGTGGCCCTAGAGGGAGCTCCACCGAAGGCCCCAGTGGCGCAGTTTGCATGCTTCCCCCACCCAGTACAGCGCTTCGTGGCCCCAGAGGGAGCTCCACCGAAGATCCCAGTTGCGCAGTTCACATGCGGTCCCCCCACCCATTACAGCGCTTCGTGGCTTCAGAAAGAGCTCCACCGAAGGTCCCAGCGTCGCAGTTCGCATGCGGTCCCTCCGCCCAGCACAGCGCTTCGTGGCCTCAGAAGGAGCTCCACCGAATTTCCCAGTGGCGCATTTCGCATGCGTCTCGCCCCCCCCACCCCGTACAGCATTGCATGGCCCTATAAAAGCTACACCGAAAACCCCGTGTCGCTGCGCGCATGCGTTCCCCCCACCCAGTACAGCATTCCATGGCCCCAGAGGAAGCTCCACATAAGGTCCCAGTGGCGCATTTCGCATGCGGCTCCCCCACCGAGTATAGCGCTTCGCGGCCCCGTTGGGAACTCCACTGAAGGTCCCAGTGTCGCAGCCCGCTTGCGTTTCCCCCGCCCAATACAGCGCTTCGTGGTTTCACAGGGTCTTCAACCGAAGGTCCCAGTGGCGCAGTTCGCATGCGGTCCCCCCGCCCAGCACAGCGCTTCGTGGCCCCAGGGGGGGCTCCACGGAAGACGAGACCCGCAATTGCGGTATTCACATTTGTACATGGTTGGATTCTTCGCCAGGCTACGTCTGTTTCCTCGCGGCTTTTGTTGTACACTCGGTGGGGCATTTGTTTCGGAACCCGAAGGAACCCGACAGGGAGAAACTTCGCCTCCTCCTCCTCCTTCTCCATCTTCTCCTCCTCCTTCTCGTTTTCCTCCGAAGGGCAGAGCACCGCAAGGAACTGGTAGACGTCGAGGTCGTCTACAAGATCCTGCTGCAACAACGCTTCTATATGCCACCAGCTGCCAAAAAGGCATCCGCGGCGGCGCCCGCATCCGTTTTCGAAAGGGCCAGCGAACAGGCGGCCCTGCGGTCAGGTGGCAGTTTCTCTGCGTTCGTGCAGGTGCCACCTACTGTTAAGTCGGGCGTGTCCCTCTACAGGGGGAATATTCAAAAATAGTCAAAACACTAGCTTGGCGAAGGACCCAACCATATACAGTTGTGAATACCGCAACTGTGAATGCCACCTTCGCCCGTGCTCCCTATGTGGCCACGGCTTCCCGCCAAAGCCCGACATGCTCCGGAACACGTTGGTGGACGTCTTCGCGGGCGCCGACGACGACAAGGACGGCGTCCTTCTGACCGAGGAGCAGAAGCAGGAGAGGATTTTGAGAGCCATGAGGGAGGAGGTGGCGTTGCACGTCGACAATGCGGAGTACGACGCCCAGGTGCGGTTGTTGAAGCAGCACAACTTTTGGGCCACGATCCTCGTGAGCGGTGTGCCGCAATGGCCTGGGGCCGCCATGCGTACCCTGCCACTGGCGCCTTCGGTAGAGCTTTTGTAGGGCCACGATACTCGAGAGCGGTGTGCCGAAATCCCCCGAGGCCGCCACGCGAACCTTGCCGCTGGCGCCCTCGCTGGAGCTCCTATGGGGCCACGATCCTCGTGAGGGGTGCGCCGAAGATGCCCGAGGCCGCCATGCGAACCCTGCCACTGGCGCCTTCGGCGGGGCTCCCTATGGGGCCGCGATCCTCGTGAGTGCTGTGCCGAAATGCCCCGAGGCCGCCATGCGAACCATGCCACTGGGGCCTTCGGCGGAGCTCCCTGTGGGGCCACGACCCTCGTGAGCGGTGTGCCGAAATGGCCCGAGGCCGCCGTGCGAACCCTGCCACTGGCGCCTTCGGTGGAGCTCCTGTGGGGCCGCGATCCCCGCGAGGATTGTGCCGAAATGGCCCGATGCCGCCGTGCGAACCCTGCCACTGGCGCCTGCGGCGGAGCTCCTTACGGGGCCACGCTACTCGCGATGGGGTGTGCCGAAATCGCCTGGGGCCGCCATGCGAACCCTGCCACTGGGGGCCTTCATCCTCGTGAGGGGTGTGCCGACATGGCCCGAGGCCGCCATGCGAACCCAACCACTGAGGGCCTTCGGTGGGGCTCCCTATGGGGCCGCGATCCTCGTGAGGGGTGTGCCGAAATGCCCCGAGGCCGCTATGCGAACCGTGCCAGTGGCGCCTTCGGTGGAGCTCCCCATGCGGCCACGATCCTCGTGAGGGGTGTGCCAGAATGGCCCGAGACCGCCAGGCGAACCCTGCCGCTGGCGCCATCGGTGGAGGTCCTTAGAGGGGTGTGCCGAAATGCCCCGAGACCGCCATGCAAACCCTACCATTGGAGCCTTCGGTGGGGCTCCTATGTGGCCACGATCCTCGCGAGGGGTGTATCGAAATTGCCCCGAGACCGCCATGCGAACCCAGCCACTGGAGCCTTCGGTGGAGCTCCTTATGGGGCCACGATCCTCGTGAGGGGTGTGCCGAGATGCCCCGAGGCCGCCATGCGAACCCTGCCACTGGGGCCTTCGGTGGAGCTCCTTATGGGGCCGCGAAACGGTGTACTGGGTGGGTGAAACGCAGGGAGGAGGGGGAGGGCGGGAAGGAGGAGGAAGGAACGCGGGGCGCCGTCTCTTCAAAACGAGGAGCCAACACCACAGGACGGTTGGGAAATAGTTCGGGGGCGTTTTGTTGAATATGTTTGGTGATGTTGGGATATTGTTTGGAGTGTTGTTCATTTTTCGTCAAAAATCCGCCTGTAGAGGGGACAGGCCCGACCTAAACCTACTGTCGAGCTTCATCCGAGGCCACGCGCGAGCATGAGGAGGGAGTCCCCTCTCCTCCTCGGCGCCCTGGGCAATTTCGAGGCGGGGGGGGGTAGGTGCGACCCTAAGGAGAAACGACGGCATGACCATAAACTCTGAGAGCTCCGCGCGGATGTCTCGGATTTGCGCCAGACACCTTCGGCGGCGCCTCCGCCGCGAGCCAAGGAGGGGGGTCCTGCGCCGATCCTAGAAACCTTCCAGGGATGTGGCAGGAAAGGTTCGGCAAGGCGTGCTGTTCACCGTTCGACGCTCGTGGCAGTTGCAGGCCACGGACCTGCCTTCAGATCTGCCCGGCTCTGCTCCCAAAGCGGCTGCGGGTCGCCGACGCGGGGCTCCGAAAGTTTACGTTGCTGCCGGTTCTTCTCCGTTTTGCGGCAGATGTGTTGGTGCAGACCTCCTCCTCCTCCTCCTCCTCCTCCTCCTCCTCCTCCTCCTCATCCTCCTCCTGCTCCTCCTCCTCCTCCTCCTCCTCCTCCTCCTCCTCCTCCTCGATCAGAAGCCGTTGGCGACGACTGACCTGAGAGGCTCGCGGGCGCGGCAGCCTCGCCAGCAAGGGCGTCTACATCTCCGCTGTGCGCCTCCGCCCCGCGATTGGCGGGCGAGCTCCTCGCCCCTCATCTGGGCGCGGACGAGCCGGCGGCGGAGGCACGTGGCCCCCATCGCCGAGAGGAGCCCGACTGCTACCCTGAAGTCGGGCCTGTCCCTCTACAGGGGGAAAATCCAAAAATAGTCAACAAAAGTATGATATGGGGACGATTTTTGTATTTTTGACACTTTAAAGAAGCATGTTGGGGGTATTTTCTGTCTTTCGTCAAAAAGTCCCCCTGTAGGGAGACAGCCCCGACCTAAGGCTACCCCAGGAACGTGCCGAGTCGCTACAATTCCACCAAAGAAAAGCCCCAATCAGTGGATGGTTTGAAATCGGATCGATAAAGGGATCGATACGGAGATCGACCAGGAACCCGGGAACCTGGAACCCACCGAAATCGGACCCGAGCCAATGACCAGGAACCCGGGAACCCAGAACCGGGAACTTGGGAACCCAGCCAGCCACCAGAATCGGCGGGAAGTGTTCGCCAAACCTTCCAATGTCCCGCTAGGGCCCCGGCAGTGCAAGCGTTGATTGGGGAATCGAGACGCTGAAATAGGTGACCGCTTTGGGACCAGGAGGGGCTCAGAGTCTCCGGCCGCTCATTGGGCTTCTGCCGTGGAGCACGCGTGTGGCCCCGGCCAGCCGGGGCCCAAAAAACACCCTCGTTCCTTGTGATGCGTTCCTTGTGGTAGCACGATGGCTGCAGTGAGGGCCCACTGCCGACCTACCGGCGATGCATCGCCGATCCCAGCCGAATGCTGTACCACAGAGCGCGCGTTTCTGCAACATCGGTTACGTTAATCACAAGACAACTCACCGCCTGGGTCCCATCGCCAGGCCAAACGGCGAGCATAAATCGGGCGTAGCCCCGCACGCATTCGATTGTCCACCCTTCGTCATCGTACTACTCGTATTCCTCCCCGTCCTCCCCATCCCGATCGTCGTCGTCGCCCCCCTCCTCGTCCTCCTCCTCATCCTCGTCTTCCTTGTCTTCCTCTTGCTCCAGCTCCTCGTCTTCCTCGTCTTCCTCGTCTTCCTCCTGCCCCCCAGCGGCTGAGGATAAAACAGTCTCCGATCGGTTGCGCTGTGTAGGTTGCGCCCTCGCCGGCCGAGAATAGAACCGTTTACTATCGGTTGCGCCATATGTGGAGCCGTCGGCGGCCGAGAATGAACCCAGATGTTGCGCCCTCGGCGGCCGAGAATCACACCGTCTCCGATCGGTTGCGCCATAGGTGAGCAAAACCGTCGCGTAACGGGTGCGACCAGTCTGTTCAGTTCATTTCAGTTCAGTTCAGTTCAGTTCTGTTTACCTCGCGAGGAACAAATTCGGGCTACGCCCGAAACCAGCATTACGTTCCCCCCCTTCCGCCGGCATCTCAAGCCGCGCTGGGCCGAAAGAGGCGTGCAAGGAAGCCCCGACTTGCGCGGCGATCTCCGGGCCTCGCTATGCCCCGCTTCCCCCGTCTGGCCCGCGCAAGGAGACCTGCCAGAGCCGACGAGTGAAAAACTGCCCGTCTGCACCTCCCCCCTCGTTGCCCCTCGGGTGACCTCCGCACGCGTGCAGAGCAACTGCGGCTTCGATGTGTGGTCTAGGGCGACTTTTTGGACACCGATGTGGTGGTGTCGCCCATGGCGCCCTGCGTTCCCGCAGGAGCTGACGGGGAGGAGGGGAGGAGGAAGGGGGGGAAGAGGATCGGGAGGAACAGGAGGAGCGGCAGGAGGAGGAGACCTCCTCCTCCTCCTGGCCCTGCTTCTCGCCCTGGCCTTTGGCCTCTCCTCCTCCGTCCCTCCCTCCCTCCCTCCCTCTCCTGCTCCCCCGCCGCATCCTCCCCGACAGCACGGCTCCGAGCCCCCCCCCCCCCGCCCCTCCTGCAGGCGCATCGGGCGCGGGCGTTCCCACGGCCGGGGCGCGGGCTGGACCTCTGACCGCCCCCCTTCCCTGGGGCGCCCTCGACGATTTCTGTTGGACTTCTGCTCTGAAGGTCGGAGTCGCCTCTGCTCCTCCCCCTCCTCCTTCTCCTCTGGGTGCTTTTCGCCCTCCTCCTCCTGCTCCTCCTCCTCCTCCTGTTCCTCCTCCTCCTCCTCCTCCTCCTGCTCCTCCTCCTCCTCATCATCATCATGCTTATCCTCCTCCTCCTCCTCCTCCTCCTCCTCCTCCTGCTAGTCCTCCTTCTCCCACGTCCCCATCTTGCTAGTCCTTCGCCTCCCCTCCCGCCTGGCCTCCCCCCCCCGCCGTCGCCGTCGTCGTCGTCAGACGAAGAGGATGAGGACGAGGAGGGAGGAGGGAGGAGGCCGCAGAAGAGGTGGAGGAGGCAGGAGGAGAGAGGAGGCGTACGACGAGCACAGATGAGGCGAGGAGCAGGGAGAGGAGCACGGAGGAGAGGAGGAGGAGGAGGAGGAGGAGGAGGAGGAGGAGGAGGAGGAGGAGGAGGAGGAGGAGGAGGAAGAGGAGGAACAAGCGAACGCTGGTCCAACGTAAAAAGGATGAGAGGAGGAGGAAGGGAGGGAACTCATCAGCCGTCAGCTCTCGGGAGGTGGAGAGGAGGAGGAGGAGGAGGAGGAGGAGGAGGAGGAGGAGGAGGAGGAGAAGGAGGAGGATGCAGGAGGAGGGGCACGGAGGAAGATGAGGACGGCGAGGAGACTTGGGAGGAAGTGTGGGGAGGGTCGGCCCGCCCCTGAACGGCGAAGAGTCGAGGTCTCCTTGGAGGGGGGGGCCCGCTCCAGCGCCGCGGCTTCCCTGCGCGGGCGCGCGGGCGGTGCGCGGGGCGCATGGCCGCACGGGAGCCAGACAGGACCTCGGTGCGCGAGGAAGGGGGGTCGCGTAATGGGGGAGGGGCGATGAATTAGGGGGGCAGCGAGGGCTGCAGAAGAGGGGCCCCTGCATAGGGGCTCTTTTGGGCCCAAGAGGGGGCCCTTGTGGACCCGAGACGGGCACTCGTTTCCCCCCACCTTCGAAGAGGGCCCCAGAGGGCCCCTGGAAGGGGCACTTTGGGGCGCCAGGGGGGGGCCCGAGAGGGCCCGAGAAGTGCACCTTTCTCATCCTCCTCCCCCCCCCCCCCTCCTCTGATCGCCCCCCTCCCCCCCCCCCTTGCGACACGCCCGAGAGGGAGGGGCGGAGGAGCCTCGGAGGAGGGCCCGGCGAGGCGGCGGCGCCCCTCCTCGGCGCTCCTCTCGCACCCCATGCGGGCTTCTCTCGCGGCGCAGGGAGGCTCCCCGTCGCCGCGGGGCGGCAGCCGCCTCAAGCAGCGGTCCAGGATGTCTGCGGCGAGCGGAGGAGGACGACGAGGAGGAAGAGGAAGAGGACGAGGACGAAGAAGAGGAGGAGGAGGAGGAGGAGGAGGAGGAGGAGGATGAGGGAGATGAGGAGGAGGAAAAGGAGGAGGAGGAGGAGGAGGAGGAGGAGGAGGAGGAGGGGGTGGGAAGTGACGCCCAGACGTTTTCGTTTGCGGAGCTGGGCGCCCTGGCGCGAACGGCCGAACGACCCCTGCAGCGGGACACTCTGGCAACACGGTTGCCGCCGCAAAAGCTTCCCCGTTTCATGTTGGCACCGCCCAAAGGCGGCGCCGAACAGAATGTGCCGTGCACGGAAGGGACGTCGCACGTCAATCGGCCTTCTCCAGGAACGCCTCACATCGACCGGCCCTCTCCAGGAACGCCTCACACCGATCGGCATCCTCGATGAATCGCCGATGCGGGGCGACCCTGCGACCCCCTCTGCTCGGGACCCCGCTTGGGAGGCCCAGATCGGCCTGGGCCACACGCGAGCCGTGAACCATCGGCGGCGAGCGACGGGGGGAATGAGAAGGAGAAGGCCTTCCCAGAAGGCAGCGGGACTTCTCAGAAGCCATCGCGCCTCCTGAGAACTGTTCTGTCTTCGGGGAAGGCTCAGGAAAATTCTCGGAAGGCCGGGGGGCTTCCGAGCCTTCTGAGAAGGCCCGCCTCTTCTCACTTCCCCGCCTCGCCCGCCGCAGAGGATGGACCCTGGGGAGGGGTCTGGTGACCGATCTTCGGCTCGGAAATCCTGGAGGCCTCGCGCGGCGCTCAACAGCGGTGTTATCGAACCCGCAGGGCCGCCCCGGAAGAAAAAAACAGGTGTGCGAAACACGTGAACTCTGGGGCATAATCTCGAGCAAGAAGCTAGCCAGACACCGGGTCTCGCTCCCCAGGCGCGCAGTGAAGCATACAGGGGCGACGTTCGCACGGCGATGCTCCAGCGCACAGCCGGCGTAAATCCGACGCGTGGGAATATATGGGACAGCGCTCGCACAGCGATGCACCGGCGGCCCTCTTTGTCGAGGCGGGCGGGGCCCGGAGAGGTGGCCTTCCTGCGACTCCCTCGCGTGCCCGCCGACCTGCCTCCCACGTGCTCCTCTTCCTTCTCCTCCTCCTCCCTCCTCTTCTGCTCCTCCTCCTCCTCCTCCTCCTCCTCCTCCTCCTCCTCCTCCTCCTCTTCCTCCTCCTCTTCCTCCCTCCTGCTTCTCCTTCTCCTCCTGCTCCTCCTTTTCTGCTCCTCCTCCTCCTCCTGCTCCTGCTCCTGCTCCTTTTTCCTCTCCTCCTCCTCCTCCTCCTCCTCCTCCTCCTCCTCCCCGTCCTCCTCCTCCTCCTCCTCCTCCTCCTCCTCCTCCTCCTCCTCCTCCTCCTCCTCCTCCTCCTCTCCCCCAGGCCTCCCAGATTGGTTCGGAGTAGATGGGTTCGGAGGACTCCGTCGCATCGCCGATGCATTGGCGATGCGGCTCGATGTTGGAGCCCGGTTTTCTCCACGCCGATGTCGCCGATGCATCGCCGACCTCGCCGACGTATCGAAGATGCATCGGCGATGTATCGCCGATGCGGCGCGATTCTCTGATCTCATCTGCTCAGACCCCATCTGGGAGGCCTCTACCCTCCTTGTTAGTCCCAGCATTCTTGCCCTGTCCCTTCTCGGTGGGGAAGACGTACGGTCAGAAACGTTGGCTTAGCGCGTCGCTTTGCCTGGTTCTGGCCCATCACGCGTCGGCGCGACACGCTATCCACCACTTCTCAGCCCCCAGCCGTCAACGTCTCGAGCTTTTCTCCGCCTCCCGCCCCGCGGAGCGGAGCGACGCGCTATCCGCGCGCACGGCATAGGGGCCGTCGCCGAGACACGTGAAGCAAAGGTTTCCGACCGTCAGACTCGAGTTTGCAGGACCTCGTGCCATCCGCCGCTTTGTGACGGCAGCGGCGAGAGTTTTGACGGTCATTTGCCTGACGGCCTATTCGAGCAAGTTCGAGTTCCTCAAGCTCGGGTCTGACTCTTGTTTGATGAAGCGCGCCCCTGTTCAGGTTGCGGAAGCAGGCGCCGTGTCTACACCGTGTTCCGCATATTGTTCCTGCCCGCCGCGACGGACCCTGCGAACAGGGCAGCCGCCGCGTCCATACCCGCTGGCTCCCTCTGGAAGCGGAGATAGCCGCCATCTCCGTAAAGGTCGCCTCTCCTCGTCCCCCCTCCTCCTCTTCGTCGTCTTCTCCCTCCTCCAGGGCGTCTCCGTGCCCCTCTGCGTCGTGCGCAGCACGGGCTCGTCCGCAGCAGCAGGCGCCTGGCCATCGCTTGGCCAGCAGCGCTCAAAAGGGGTGCACCGTTGCGGCGGGTCCCACCTGCGCTTCCCCCCGCGCCTCGGCGGTTGCATGGGAGGAACCGTAGGAGCTCTCGAGGTCTTTTCCGGACGGGATCGAGTATAGGGGACCAGAAAGTGACATAAACATAAACATTCGGAGGTCCGCGCGGATTCCTCGGATCGGCGCTGGGGCCCCCCGGCGGCGCCTCCGGCGCCGCCCCTGGCGCGCTCCGCGCGCCAGGGAGGGGGGTCCAGCGCCGATCCGAGAAATCCGCGCGGACCTCCGAGTCTTTATGTTTATGTCACTTGTTGGTCCCCTGGAGTACGCCCCAAGGCTCTCGATTGTGCTCGGAGGTCATCGGCGCTCTCCGAACGCGTCCCTTTTGGGAGCTCTCCACCGGAGGGCCGCACGGGGGGCCTCCAGAGCCGGCCGCGCGCCTTCGGGGGCCGAGGCAGCCGGCAGCGCCCCTCGGCGGAAGGCGGCGGAGGGCCGACGGATGCCAGCGAAAGTAGATCGGCCACGCGCAGAGGGGGGTGGGGGGAGGGGGGAGGGCTTCTTAGAAGCACCTCTGCTTCTTAGAAGGCGCGGGCCTTATCTATCAATGCAAGGCCGGCTCCTCCTAAGAAGCAGCCTTCTTTTTAAGAAGGCCTCCCCCCTCCCTCCCCCCCCCCTTGTGCGCGCCGCCAAGTAAAGCGAGGCCGCCTCAAGCGGCGGAAGCCGGCGGACACAAGGTGTGCGCCCACAAAAGGATGCTGTTCAGGGAGGATGCAGAGGGACGGCCTGCCTCTTCAGCGCGCCACTCGTCCTGCGCTCGCTGTCTATGCCCTTTCTGCTGTCCCGCCCCTCTCCGTCGCCGAGGCTGGCCATTCTGTGTCCAGGAACGTCAGGAGGAGGAGAAGGAGGAGGAGAGGCAAGGCAAGGCAAGGCAAGGCAAGGCAAGGCAAGGGGGGACGAGGAGGAGGAAGGAGGAGGGAAACGGGGGAGGAGAAGGAGGCGGATCAGGAAGGCGGAGGGTTTGCGCATTCGTCAGGAACGGCGGCAAAAAGCAGAAGGCTGCCCGCGAGTTCGACTGGTCAACCGCAGAGTTCGCGCACTTCGTGCTGAAGTTTGCGTATGTGGGAACCGACTATTATGGCCTGGCGTGGCAGGAATCTGGGGCATCTTGGAGGTGGAAGTATGGAGGAGGGAAGGAGAGCGGAAGGGAGATGAGCGGGCCGACAAAGCATATGAGGAGCAGGCTGGCGGATTGCGGGAGAGTTGGGGAGGAGGTCGATACGTATATGAGGAGCAGGCTGGCGGATTGCAGGAGAGCACGGAAACGAAGAGGAGGAGGAGGAGGAGCTGGAGGTGCAGTGGCAGGATTGTGGCAATAGCTGGAGGAGGACGAGGCCACCCGGGGAAGTGCAGGTGGCCTCTGCCTCCCTCCCTCCCTGGGCAAGCCGAATGCCCCCCTCCACCGTTCGCCTCCGCCTTTGCTCCCTGGCAGCCCGAGGACGCTTCCCCCAAAGGTCATCACTGTCTGCCCCGTGCTGCGCCCGGAGAGCGCCGGCGCCACCGCCGCCGACCCCCCGCCTGAGCTCCTGGGCCCTGGGGGGGGGCACTTCTCTCTCTCTCGGGAGCGGTGGCGAGCTCGCCTGCGAGGAAAAAAATCCCGGAGGCCCCGCGGGCGGCGCGCCAGAGCTGTGGGACCCGTCAGGGATGGGGCGACATTCGCGCGGCGGTGCTCCGACGCAAGTCCGACGTACGTCCAGCGTTCCCCCGGCCACCACTGTGCCAGTGTCGAGCTGCACTGTCAGTGCCTCGCTCTCCTGGGGCCTGGCTGTGCTCCTGCTCGTTGCAGTTTGTCGCGCGCGCGGAGCCGCACTGCCCATGCCGCGCTTCCCTGTGGCCTTGCTGCGCTTCCCTGCGCAGAGGCGGCGGAGAGCTCGAGAGACCCGTCCACGAAGAGATCCGGCGCAAGCCGAGTCTCGAGTGGCCGCGCGAGGCCTCCAGGATTTCCCTCGTGAGATCTTCCGCCCCTGCGGGCGGGCGGTATGCTCCCCCCCCCATGCCGGCAGGCCCACGGTGCGGTGCCTCCCGCCGCCGCCGCCCCCCTCCCCTCGGAGGGCCTCCGCAGACCCCAGGCCGCACCGCACACCGGCTGTCGCGCTCGCGGTCTGTCCTCGGGGCGTTGAGTTGAGAGGTGAGGCTCCGAAAAGAAGAAACAGAAGCCACAAGCAGAAACTCTTGGCGCTCCGCGCGGATCTCTTGGATCCGCGCCTGGGCCCCCCGACGGCGCCGCCCCTGGCGCGCGGAGCGCGCCAGGAAGGGGGGTCCAGCACGAATCGAAGAAATCCGCGCGGAGCTCCGAAAGTTTATGCTTATGTGTTTTTTCTTCTTCTTCTTCTTCTACGGAGAGGCCCTGGCTTTCGGGCCGCTCCTTCGATCCGGGTCGGGGAACACGTTCGTGGCCGAGGCTCGCCGTGAGCAGAGAGGCCCCGTCGTTCCTCCTTCTCGGCGCTCCGTGTGGCAGCACGGTGTCTCTACACCCCACGCCTCGGAGGTGGGCGTCGTGCTTTCCCCGCGATCCCGAGAGAGCCACTCGTCGAGGTACCCCATCCCCTAATGGTGTGTTTCCTCCGCCTCCTCGAAGACGTGATCGACCCCAAATGGCTCAACTTGTTGCAGGGGGCTTCTGCCTTCAGGGCCCCGCCGCGCCGTGGCTCCTTCCTCCTCCGTCGCCCTCTCCCCCATGGCGCACCCCCTTCTTGGCGCAGGATTCAGAGACTTGCCCCACGGTGGAGGGTAAGTTGTTCGATGCCCTGGTGAAGACGCGACTCATCCGGGACCGACAGACCTGCGGGTATCCGATCGGCTCCACGCCAGACTAACCTGATCTCCGCCCAGAGTCAGGGATGGACAGAGTAGGGAGGGGAGGAAGGGAGTGAATGGGAGTGAAAGGGAGGGAAAGGGAGGGAGGGAGGGAGGGAGGGAGGGATGGAAATGTAGTGACGCAGGGAGGCACCAGGAGGAACTAAGGTCACAGTCACGTGTTTGTGAGCATAGCAAGAGGGATCTGCAGTAGAGTATCCATAGGTCTCGTAAGCAGCTGCCTACTGAGAGCCGCCTCCCACCGCGGAGGCGTAGACAGGCCAGCTGTGCCATCGGTGCTGATCTGGCGTACTGCCGCAGCTCCTGCCATATCTCCTCACTCGCTCCTCACCCATCCTCCTTCCTCTTTCGCCTCCTTCCCCTCCTCCTCCTCCTCCTCCTCCTCCTCCTCCTCCTCCTCCTCCTCCTCCTCCTCCCTTGTCCTCTTCCACCTTCTGCTCCCCTCTCACGCCTCCTCACGCCTCCTCGCTTCCCCTCCCAGCTCCCCAACTCCTCCTTGCTTCTCCCTCCCTCCTGGCCCATCGCTCCTCTTCCCCGTCCTCCCCTACCCCGCTCCCTCCTCTCCAGCGGAGCCCGCCTCGCGCAAAGCTGTGGGCCTACTGATACCTCCCCCCCTCCTCAATCCTGCCACTCCTCCCCCGCCGGACGCGCCGCGGGACCGCCGCGCTGGGCTTCTGTCCATCCCTCCTCCTCCTCTGCCAGTTCCCCTCCTTGACCACGCTGCCGGCCCACCCTCTATCCCGTTTCTTTAAAGACAGTTCTTCCTTGCCACGCCCCGAGACGTGTAGGGGCCTCCATCCGTGACGCTTCTGCAAACTTTGAAGACGAATGCGCGCGGCTCCAAGGCGAGAGCCACATTTTGAAAACGGCTAGCCCTCCATCCGTGAAACTCTTTGCAAGCTTTTGAAACGAATGTGCGCGACGCTCAGGCGAGAACCACACTTTGAAAACGGCCCACCCTCAGTCAGTGAAGCTGTTGCAGGTTTTACGCTTCAGGGTCGTGAGTGATGAGGAAGTCTCGGGTGAAACGCCCGGCCTGCCCTACACGATATCAAAATTTGTCCCTCGTCTCAGCGCCACACACACATCCGTCTTACAAGATTACGAGATGTCTGAGGGTCACTATGATTGACGCCCCAGGAATGTTATTTGGTCACGATGTAGAACTGCCAGGGCGCCACAGTCACGTTGATTCGCGATGTTGAAGTTCCAGGAAACATTTTTCTGGCACGATTCAGGATCGCCATGGCGCAGCAATAACACTGATTCACGGCGTTGAGGTCCCAGGAATGGTGTTCTGGCACGACTGAGGCTTTCCAGACGGGGCTGTCCTCCAACGGGACACTTCCCGGACCCGTGAAGAGGGAACTTGGAGGGAGGATTCGTGGCAACATCGTTGATGCGTCTTGGGTTTACACTGGTCCTCCGCCTCCTCCTCCTCCTCCTCCTCCTTCTCATGCTCTTCCTCCTCCTCCTCCTCCTCCTCCTCCTCCTCCTCCTCCTCCTCCTCCTCGTGCTCTTCCTCCTC